CCCCCCCCCAACAGCCAGGTTTAACAAACGGTCCGTGTCCTGATCCAAATCCTTACGGGTACGATTTTTTGCGGATTCATCCGCTCGTTTTGTCCGCTTGTACGGGCGAGACGAGAGAACGAGAGGGCGACGGATCGGCGAGCGAAAGTCGTCGCGCTCAGGAATAGCAGAATGATATTTTTTTTTAAAAAAAAAGGGGGGGGAGAAAAGAAAAGAGCCCCGTTTTTTTTGTTTTTGTCTTAAATTCTGGATCCCGCCTTTAAAAGCAGGGTTGTTCCTCGGCGTGTGGTGGGAAGCGGAGAAGACGGCCAAAGTGGGGATCACGATTATCCGGACGGAGGAGTGTTATGCCCGTGAAATCTCGCTGTTCTCTTCGGCGACCCCACCTTCCCACCCAGGCCTGTCAAATGTGTCTTGCTCTGAAATTTCACGGTGAATATACTTGGTTTTCTCTCTGTCCTGTGCCAACCCAACAGCCAAGGAGACCTTGAGGAAGAGACCGGGCCCCTGTGATGGGGAGGGAGCTACTGCTGGGCCCCCTCCCCCTCCAATCCACACAGCTAGGAGGCCAGGAAAATCATAAGGAAGAAAGCGACTGCCAGGGCTAAAGGCAAGTGTTCCCACTTCGGACTCGTCCCACTGATGCTCTTCTCCAGTTTGGGCATCTCGGGGTTAAAATGATCTGTATTTGGGGGAGGGGGGAGAAAGAGAGAAAGGAAGAGAAGATTAAAAAGTGGTAGGAGGGGAGGGAAAAAAAGGCGGAAGTGTAGGCCGTGCCCTCTTCCCCCGGTCAATCCTGCTCAAAACGCTGTTTCTCCACGGCGCGCCACACAGGACAAGCGACTGCGACGAGGGTGCGCCAACCCCCGAGTGGAAGGGGACCATTCGCCGCAGCCAACTCGCTGCGAAAACAACACTCCGTGGGACAATTCAACCCATCCAAAAGTTGTGTGAATTTCGACAGAACCGTGGCCAATAAGAATAGGAATAAAAGAAAGTCAGCCAGAAGGACAAAGAGTTACAACCATGTCGACAAAAACGTGCTCGCCGATGATCCCTGAATGAAACGATTGAACGAAGTTGTGAGTGCTTCAACACTGTTTTTTTAAAGAAGAGATTGGATCACCGTTGGTCTGAAATGGTGTTAGGGTCTCCTGCTGGGGTGGGGGGGTCGGACTAGAAGACCTCTAAGGTCCCTTCCAACTCTCTGTTAAAACAGCGTTGAATTGTCCCATGGCGAGTTGTCCGTACGGAGTTTTGTCCTCGGCGAGTTGTCCTAGACCCACCCTCGAGGGCCTCCAAAATTTGGGAGATCCCTCAGCCTCTTCCAGCAAGACAACCCAATCCTCAGTGGAGAGGCAGGAAGCTACATTTTTGGAGGGGTGGAGGTGGGGGGAAATCCCAGCCCCTTCACCCCACATTTCCCCGGGCAAAAGTAGGTGGACACTCACCCAGATCCTCAATCTTCACTTCGGGCCCTATAGTGAATGGCGGAAGAGTTGGTACCACTCTGTCCCCAGAAAACGACGCTGTGGGCAGGAGAGAGGGGGGGGAAGTCATTACTTCCAAGGGGTGGTGGGATACGACAAGGACCCTCCCCGGAAAGTTTTTGGCCGCCCTCCTGTCCCCAGGGCCCACCCCCCCTCCCCCAGTACAGGCTCCTACGAGGGGCGTGGTAGTTCCACGACAGGCGGTGTAAATTTTGCCCCTCGGGTTTCGTTTTTTGCGGGGAAGACGAAACGATTGTTAAGTTTTCCCGCCAAGATAAATGACATTTCCAGACGGGGGTATGGAGGTTCAGAGCCCACCCTTGTCATCCCGGAGGAAGGGGGGTTGGGGGAGAGAAAGAAACCCCAGTCCTTTCCTGAGGACTAACGGCTTGGTTTGGGAAAGGGCGGTGCCAAATTTGGTAGTACAGATCTTGAATGCTTTTTGGGCACTTTTGAGAATGTGGTGGTGGTGGCGGTGGAGGAAATGGGAGAAAGGAAGCGGTCACTCACGGGAATGGCAGCAGACAAAGACTTTCATTCGCAAGCAGGACCGGCGGTGATTGTGCGTTGGAGTGGCTAGAAAACAACAACAACAACAACAACAACAAAAGGATGGCGTTGGAGTCGGCCATCTCTGAACCGTTTCACCCTCTCCTGGCTTGGCAGGCAGCACATTTCATCCCCAGATGGGCTGAGGGATTCTTGGGGCCGAACCAGGCAGGGAAACTGAGGTGGGATGGATCAGTGGGGGGGGGGAACAATGTTGGGGACCACCCCCCTCTTCCTCCCCTCCCCTCTCTTCTTCCTTCCTCCCCTCCTCCCCTCCCTCCTCTCCTTGGTTCCTTCTTTCCTTTCTTCCATCATCTTCCTTCTTCCTTCCATCATCTATCTTCCTTCTTCCTTCCTCCCTCCCTCCCTCCCTTGGTTCCTTCTTTCTTTCCTTCCTTCCATCATCTTCCTTCTTCCTTCCTTCCATTATCTATATTCCTTCCTTCTCTCATCTCCCTCCCTTCCCTCCCTCCCCTTCTTGGTTCCTTCCTTCCCTCCTCCACTCCCTCCCTCCCTCGGTTCCTTCCTTCCTTCCTTCCATCATCTTTCTTCTTCCTTCCTTCTTTCCTTCCCTCCTTCAGCTTTCTTCTTCCTTCCTTCTTTCCTTCCTTCCTTCCTTCTTTCCTTCCTTCCTTCATCTTTCTTCTTCCT